CAGAGCCTCCTTATATACACAGCGCCCCTGCTGGCACTAGGTCAGCATATTCAAAACGGGCATGTTACTCATTGAGAGCAGCCTTAAACCATCCTGCTACATCATGTCAATATTGTGAAAAAATCAGAGGAATTCTTCCAGCACCTTGTTGAATTTATACTATAAATTTAAAAAAGTCAGTTCGGAAGGAAAAAGGGGTCTAGCCTGCTACTAATGAAGTGGCCAGTGTAGCAGTGATTCCTTGTTTATAAAACCAAAAATAAAATGCATGATTTCAGCATTGTATAATCTTATATAGCTTTGGGAGGGAAACAGCTTTGTTGTGCTATCTGCTTATTTCGGATGACCCCGCAAAAGTTTTTGGACACTTGCCCACAAATAAAATACAGAATTACCAAAGTGAAAAGAAAAGTGCTATACTGCATTACTGAAGCTCATATGATCAAGGTTAAGAAATTGTTTCATGTTCTTGTTTTTAATTCAAGGCGCTCAGTCCCCTGCTATCCTCTTCCCTTTTATCAAGATCTACTGTGTGTGTGTGTGTGTGTGTGTGTGTGTGTGTGTGTGTGTGTGTGTGTGTGTGTGTGTGTGTGTGTGTGTGAGGGAATATTAGCGTGTATTTCGCCTCTGATAATTATGCCATTAAGTATGGGCTCAGATGGTGCAAAATTGCACACAGGTTGCCATAGCAACTTTATGAGACGTCGGTCCAAGTTTTGAGCACGTTCAAACAAGGCGTGGCTTCTTCGAGTGAGTGAGCGAGAGATGGGTCATAGTAGAGAAGCTGAGAGACGCGATGGATGCTGGAGCCGTCCTGCTCTCGCTTGAAGCTTTGTTCGTTTACAGTCCGTTTATTGCGCCTTCGGTCTCAGTTTATTAACACCGTCCTTAAATCAACCAACAACATGGCTACGGTGGTCTTCCTCCGACGATTTATTTTATTTTATTTTTTGAGTTAATTTTTTCATAGCGACGCTGAACACAACGGTGATAGAAGAAGAAGATAGACCGAATTTGTTCTCCATACAAAGGCTTGGAGAGGCCCACATCTCAACATCATGATCTAGCACATGCCTAGGACTGCTCGTAGGTGCTTTTGGACGGACGTGTGATGGTTTTCCTGGATATGGAGCCTGCTGTGTGCTGTAAGGATCAGAGCAAGGAAAAGGCTCGATGGACTCTGCTGAAAACAGCTCAGGACACATCCGTATAACTGGCGTTTGGAGCGAAATGACTAACACAAAGGCATCGCTTGTTTGTGTGGACAGTGTAAGAAAACGACTGAGGTAAAAGGAGGAAAATACTGAACAAATAAAGACTTCACAAGCAAATAGCGAGCTTTAGACTGTTGACATGGCTGCACCTCAAACGTACAAGGCTGTGAACCAGTCCGCCTATTTAACAGATAGGAGGAAAACATAACAGGTGAGGACTAAACGTATTTAGCTGATATTCAGTTTAATGATGTTTAATGAAAGATTTTGTTTCTAATAGCACAAGGGTACAACTGCTAACTAGCTTTGTAGTATAGTAAACAGATTTTCTTTTAATATTCCAACACTACCTTAGAAGTTATGTCTTTTCCAAATCACTGTAGCTACGGGGGTATACTTTAAAAAAAGTTACCAATATGAAAAAAAAGAAGCAAAAAATGACAGAGGGAAGCACAAACTCATCGACAGATATGCATTTCAATTTGAAATGTGTATTATGTGTATTTATTAATGCATTAAATAAAAACAGGCAACAGGTGGCTCCACTTTGAACTAGCATCTTACAGTTTTGATCAAACAGTGAATCCCAGTTTGATTCTGTAGAAAGTTCTTTTTACTGTATAAACTTTATAAACAAAGAAAGGAAATGCAAAACATCTCAAACAAAATGATCTACAAAACTAAAACAAAACGGAGCAGGAGGCTTATCCAGATAAGCTTGTCGACAATTTCTTAATTAAAATGGTTACTATATACAAATATACATATACAAATGCATAGATGTGCATCCATGTGTACAGATACATCTTTGAACCTACAGACAAATACTTTCAATATAATGATATTCTCATTCTATACAATAGCACAGCTCATAACGTGAATACCTAATCTTTCATTTTATACACATAAAATTATGTATTGCTTATATTTAAATTGTGCAATATTTTTACTTTCTTTAATTTCTTTGTCTGGGCTGTTCGACAAAGTCACTCCACAAACTGTATGCACGTTTTTAAGAGCGTTGGCTGCACATGGCTGCTTAAATTGCATTTTCTGCTCACCCGTACCTTCCCTCTCTATTCTTAAATAAATTCTGAATATTACTTGGAAACATAGTATTTCTTGTTTTGAACATCACCTGTGTGGTTTTAAATTGTACTAAATTCATGAATTTCATAACTTGTGGTTTCAAAAAAGGTTTATTTGTGTGTTCACAATCCAAACATTGTGTCCTTATTGCTCTTTTTTTGCATCGTGCATATTTTTTGTAAAGAAGTTTGTTCTGTGTTGTGTAACAGCTAAAACAGATTCATATAACAGGAAGGCTATAACGGCAAGAATATGTACTGATGATGCTTTCCTGGAGTCAATCTAAGAACCACTCAATGAGGTCATAGTCCTTAAAGCTGGGCTTTATTTCATGCAGGTCACTGTGGAGCGTTATTGAAATGGCTTTTACGTAAAGACAGAAAAGGCAGCAGGCATGGAGTGCTCACAGAGCTATTTACAATCAAAAAATGTCCAACAAAATGGACCATACCACTATTAAGCAGCCAGTGTAACAGTGGCGTGGTCCATGTGGTTTCCTTTCCCGTGTTGATGGTCTTGGAGACAGTGAGAATAAAGACCACGATTAAATGAGTTACCAGCAGCTACTTTAGCAATCATTAAACCAACATAGAGACTCTAATCTAAAACTGTGTCTGAAGCAAGGGATGTGGCTTTTTTTTTCCTTCCTTCATTAACAGAGTTGCCTTTGAGGACGGGCCTGCAGGATAGTGTGCCTTTTCCATCTTTTATGCCTTCATAGAAATAAACACCCGTGCAATTTTTCATGAGACTGTCACCAAAATGCAGCAGCCAACTGAGTGAATCGAGAGCAGAAAGTTACTGATGCACTCCATTTACACAAGGAATAGCACCGATAACCAACGGCATCGACAGAACTGATATGAATTCTTAGAACTGACTGCTATTAGTGGTGTAGTGACACATTCAGGCCTTTTACAACAGCTCACCCAGGGGATGAAACAAAAATACAATAACGCTTGTTAAACCATGAATTTTTTTTATCAAAATTAAACTATAGTGTTGCTAATTAGTTTTATTCACATTTCTATATTTAACAAAATAATTTGTTGATCTAATGTAAGGCCATGTGAAACCTTTCAAAGGCCTTCTTTTGCACCTAAAGACAGAAAAGCTTTTTTTGGTTTTTTATTAATGTTATATACCATGCCTTCCATTTCTCAGTTTTTTGTTTGACCAGGACTAGTGTAAAGTCTTTATATAATGCTTTAACAAAAAAAATTAATTATACAACTCAGTTTGAAAACCATCTGGTCCACTTGTTTTGCAGATTTTATACTTAACACCTAATTCCAATTTCTTCTTTGGCAATTTCTGCTACAGGTGTTCATCAATTGCTCTAAAGAGTCAGTTTATTTCAACAGGCTCTGTAATAGTAATGTCGTTTTCTCTGGTCCCCTCCCCAATCAGACCAGGAGTGACATGTTAGCCGCATGTTCTCCTTAAATTGCTGGCTGTCTGAGTGATCTCCAAAAAACCATGTGGGCTTCACAGATAATTGGGAAACTTTCTGGAGGAAACCTGGTCTTGTTAGGAGAGATGGCATCCATCCCACTTTGGATGGAGCAGCTCTCATTTCTAGAAATCTGGCCAAATTTATGACCCTCCCCCCCCAAAAAAGAATAAAAAAAAATATGACTATCCAGAGTCCAGGAAACAGAGTTTCAGTCTTAGGCTGTGTTCCCAATCCAGCGACCGCACGCTGTAGTATGAGAAGTGTGGAAGTGCAAGGCTTGTGAAATGGACGGTCTGGCCTTCGTTCAGGCTGCTCAGGTTGCCTAGCAACCTTGATACTAACTGCAAGAAACGTTTCATACAGCTTTGTGTGACAGAAATGAAGGAAAAATGTTTTTTTGTTCATTCATTTTTTTATGACATCACTGTGATTAGTTGAGTATCTGAGGCTGAGACCACGGGACTGTAAAACATGATTGTTGGGCTTCATTTCTTGTGAAACAGTCATTTCAAGATTAGTTAGTAAAAATAACAATTAGCTGATGTTGTTCATGAGACTAAAGTCATCTGACTTTTCTCAAATCTCACTTACATATAATATGGCCAATATTATATTCATTTATTACAGCAGTAATAAATCATAATAATCTGACAATAATAATAATCTGACATATGTGTAAAAAGAAAATGTAGGAGCTGTGATAACTGTGTCTGATAGAATGAAGAGTCGACTGATATATGAAATATTCCTTTATTGGGTGAGAAAATCAGACCATGTCATAACTGCTGTAAGTCACACAGAATAGACATCAGAGCCTTAAACAGGCTGACGTCTGCTAAATGGGTCAAACTGGGCAGAAAGTCTACAAACACATAACATCCTTATAGAATATGATGTAACACTATAGATCAACTTAGCTCAGAATATATATTAAACCCAATTAGTACAAACATCCGCTAAAGTCACATAACCTTTTGCCGACATGTGGCCAAACAGGAATGTTTTAATGTTCTACATTATTAAACATTCGCACATAAATAGTGACATAATATTCAGTACTTACTTTTAAAAGTTTACTCTTCAGCCGGCTCCGCTTCAGCTGTCTGCCTGTATTTTTCAGCAAAATTATCCACACCCGCCGCCGCGCTATGAATTGTGGGATATATGGGACCACGAAGTGTACACCGGAACACACTTCAAATTTGGGGAAATCGACGGCGCATTTGGAGTACACTTCGGATATGGGAGAGCCGTCGTCACGACGCTGTGACGTAATAGGTCTCAAAATGCGTGTGGTCGCTGGATTGGGACTCAGCCTTACACGCCTCTATGCAGCTTCTCTCCTCCTGCTACCCCCCCAAAACCCCATCTCCATTGAGACTGTGTCAGCTCCCAAACAGACAAAAAACAAACTAAAAACCAGCAAAAACAACTTAAACATAAAAATCCAGTATCCACATCTGAACCAAAGAGTAAAACAGTGAAATGTGGATTATTACATGTTAGGTCTCTCCTCCAAGTCTGTTAGTAAATGATTAATAATTGATCAACACATCGATTTACTCTGCCTTACAGAAACCTGGTTGCAGCAGTGAAAACTTTGTATCCACAGTTTTTTGAACAATAATTTCTCCATCTTGTTCTTTAGGGTTATTTCCATGGTGACCAACCTCATGGCTACCGCTACAGAGACCATAGTGCAAACCACAGGAAACCTGTCAGACCATAAAGACAAAGAGGAAGTGAATTTGGTCGTACCCATCAGGAACTAAACCCGTCTGTGCTGAGTGCTGCTGAGAGTAACTCTGTTCTCCATGGAATCATAGTGGCAGCTCAGGCACTGATACTGCTGTCTGTATTCCTTCTCTCCTGTCTTGGTAACTCAGCAGTTGTCGTCGTTATCATCAAGCACAGGCAACTTCGAACAGTGACTAATGCTTTTATCATGTCGCTGTCGCTATCGGACTTCCTCACGGCTGTCTTGTGTCTGCCATTCTCTTTTGTTATGCTTTTCAGTAAGGATGGAGTCTGGATGTTTGGGGATCGTTTCTGTGTTGCCAATGGGTGTTTGAACACCTGCTTTGGTATTATCGCCACCCTGACAATGACTTTGATATCCTTTGATAGGTACTATTCCATTGTCAGACAACCACAGGCTAAAATAGGCAGACAGAAAGCAGCCCAGTTATTGATTGCAGTGTGGATAACTGCTGTCATTTTCTCTCTGCCTTGGTATCTGGTAATCCGAACACCTAAAGAAATCCACAAGCAAGGTTTTACCACTGCATGTATGTGTTCCACTCTGGCACCTCACTCATGGGAACAGCTTATAGCATCTGTCTGATCATTGTATGTTATTTATTGCCTTTTTGCCTGATGTGTTTTTGCCATTACAACATTTGTAAGACTGTTCGGCTCTCAGAAATACGAGTCAGGCCTGTGACCACATATGCATACTTACTTCGATTTTACAGTGAAATGCGAACAGCCACCACAGTTCTGATAATGATTGTTTTCGTTATTTTTTGCCGGGGGCCATATTGTCTAATGGGGCTAGTTACTGCTATAGGGGACTACACATTTAATCCTGCAATGGACACAGTGGCCATTTGGCTAGCTTGGGCAAATGGAGCCATTAACCCTCTGATCTATGCTCTGAGGAACCCAAATATAGCCATGTTACTGGGACGCAGTAGAGAGGAGGGCTATCGGACCAGAAATATTGCTGCATACCTCTCCAGCCAAACTCAGAACCACGAGGCCCGGTTTAACAATGCAGAGAGGATAAAAGATCGCTACCTGAGTCGCGCAGGGCTTAACAGCCAGCTGTTGACTTCGAGTCCTGGAAAAACAGGAGGGGGAGGAGAAGTGTCAATGTGGGCTTGTAAAAACCCTGCTGTGTACTTCTGTAAGGACACTCAGCAAAATACTGCATCACTGCCAAACTCAGTTGGCGCTCAAAAGACAAAGAGACCTGACACGAGCCTTTGAGATTGTAGAGTTTGCATTATCTAAGAGTTGGTTTCATCATAAGTGTTATTGCTATGAATCAAGATTTGTTTTAAAGACTTGATACTGTGTATGACCCCTGAGACCAAAACTCTTATGTTTATGATTAACATTGTGCTCCAGGTATGAACAACACAAAGAATAATTTGAGTTGTTCATACTAAAATGATCATATTTACACTGTGCAAGTATCATCTTGGATGATACCATTAGGTCCTCTCAAAACATACTCATTTAAACTGACTGAAATGAGTATGTTCTTGTTCTGTGACACAGAATGCTAAAGGGTGCAAAATAGCTCATGTCTGAGTTTGAACATCTTTATATCTGTCCTTAATCTTAAATGTGCCACACAGCATATGTACTGTTCACGTCATTTCCCCTGTCCTCACCAGCAAATTAACATTGTCTATTGTTTGTTTAGCATATTAAAGCAACATAATTAGATGCCACTCTCCTAATATCCCTACCTATCAGTGGCTCCAACATGACTTTAGTTGGAGCCACTGATAGGTCAGTCAGACCAGGAAGTAGCATTGTGGCATTTTTCCACAAATGCTTCAAAAAGATATTCATTACAGAGCTGGCTATCAAACTGCTACTCTGGGGAAGCCTGTTAATGCGCCCGTTAACACGCGGCATACTACTGCCATGCAGTAACAATGGCTCATAAACCACAATGTGAGCCTGCTAGATTGTGAACACAACATATTCAGTAAATAATTCTACGACTGATTTCTCCTCTAAGCCTCTCTTGTGATGAATTTAGTGTTATAATAAAATTGATAGTTGAGTATAGGTAGTAGGCATTAGCCTCCTGTTGCGTGGCCTGTCAGCTCTTCACCGGCTATAGCCGGTGTAACACTGACCTCAAAAGTACTTTCCGAAGGTAAAATATGTGAACTTCTGAATAATGCACACTTGTAAATTTAAACAGCATGTGGTATCTACAAACATTTGTGTACAATGATGGTACAGCTTCTGAAATACTGATGTTTTAAAGTCCATAAAATTAAAATACTAAAGAAAAGAAAAAGGGTCTTATTAAATCTCCAAAAGTTGATTCTGTTCATCTGGACGTAGCGTCCAGATGAACAGAATCAACTTTTGGAGATTTACTTACCTGGATGATTGAGATGCATCAAGAGGTGTTACTAAATGTGTATGTGCTACATTGTTAGTAGCCTTTGTGTACTTTTTTTTTTTTTAAATGAGGTGGCATTTCTGAATTATTTCCTGACTCAGATATTTTAGTTCCCAGCGTTACAAAGCAGTCACACATGATCCTTACCTTGTGAGAGACCGGCATTTCAATACAGTATACTTACATGTATTCTAATGATGGTGATGCCACTCTCATATACACCAAAAGAATTGATTTCCTGAAGTAAATGCAGTGTGAATAGATAGATGAATGTTTTGAGCTGAAATGTAATAATTTCTAACTGATAAGTTAGAAATGTTGAATGAGCTGAAATACAAATCATTCAGCTAAAAGTGCAGAACTGTTGAAAGTTCACATAGAAGTTGGAAAGTAGCTGGACACCTTTAAAATGTACAGTACATTAGAAAAAGCTGACTAATGACAAAAGAAAATTTAGAGTCAGAAACCATCTGAATGAATATTGAAAGCTCACATTCTTTAAATCACTAGAAGTGTGGAATTGTGTATTTTAAATTTCTAAACTGAAGCATCTTAAATTCTTAAAATAAAAACAATATTTGCATGTCTGCTCTAATCCGCTGTGTGTGTAGATCAGTGGCTTCTTCTGAAACTGAAGTGATGGACAACAGCCTCTTGCCAGAGGACAATGTGATAAACAGTTCATGTGAGGGGTCGTCAGCATCGTCTTAGTAGAGATGATGACGTGCTGCTTTCTGCTTTTGTTGCTTCCTCTCAAACAGGAAGTCAGAGATCCACCTGAAAGTGGGACTAAAGTCCTGAAAAAGTAGCCTGGCATAAGTTCCCGCAGAGTCCAGATTCTCTGTCGAGAAAGAGCTCATTCAAATCTTTGGAAAGTTATCAACTGACACTAATGAACCGTGTGTGTGTGTGTGTGTGTGTGTGTGTGTGTGTGTGTGTGTGTGTGTGTAGGTGCATGTGAGTGTGTGTGTTTGTGTTTGGGGGTGTGTTTTTGTGACCTCCTGCCCCCAAAAAGGTCATAAAAGCAGGACGTTTACTAAACAAGAAAACAGAACCCTCACATAGGATGTCCCATAATAAAACACTAGAGCCTCCCCCACCAACAAACTGGCTGGGGAGGTGGTCAGAAACAGATCCTACAGTTTGAACCAAGACTTATAAATTTAAGTACAATAATGGCAACATTTAACAATTTGACTCCAACATAAGCCATAATTCAATTCAATTCAATTTTATTTATACAGCGCCAAATCACAACAAAAGTCGCCTCAAGGTGCTTTATATTGTAAGGTAGACCCTACAATAATACATACAGAGAAAAACCCAACAATCATATGACCCCCTATGAGCAGCACTTTGGCGACAGTGGGAAGGAAAAACTTCCTTTTAACAGGAAGAAACCTCCGACAGAACCAGGGTCAGGGAGGGGCGGGGCCATCTGCTGCGACCAGTTGGGGTGAGAGAGGAAGACAGGATAAAGACATGCTGTGGAAGAGAGACAGAGATTAATAACAAGTATGATTCAATGCAGAGAGGTCTGTTAACACATAGTGAGTGAGAAAGGTGACTGGAAAGGAGTAATAAAGCAGTGACGTAGACGTTACACTGCTCTGTCATGGTGAAGAGAGAACCGAGCGTAATCTATGGTGATGAGCTTTATGGATAGTGACGGAAAGAATGAGATGAAATGAGGAAAGGCGCTTTCTCCAATGGGTGGCTGTGCTTTTCCTTATCAACTTACTAAACCATCCATTAGTACTGGTACTACACTAAAGCCTATTAAATACAACAACCAACCCATAATTATTTTAGACGTGTAACATTACAATAGTTGCTGTTACATTCCCTAGGATGATATTAGTTTTTACTTTGTGAAATAATGTCTGGTGTTTTGTCTAAGCGCCACCTCCTCTTGATTAGGAGCTGTTGCCTGAATCAAGCCAATCAGAAATCAGCAGAGCCCCATATAAAGTCCATGGAGCTGTGTTTCTGGTCCTTCTGGCCATTGCCATACGTGTGCAGGCTTACATACCTTTGGAATTGTATGTGTATCTTATGTGACTGTGGCCAGACTGCCTGTAGGGGAGAGCTGCCTTTGCTTTGTGAATCGTTGTTTTCTCCTGTTTATGTGCTGGTTAGGTAGGTTATTGTTGTAGGTTGTATATTTGTTTTCTTTGGAATTAGGTAAGTTCCTTTTATTTTCTATTAGGGATGTTTTGTCTGTTATGTTGGCTTTAGCTCTCCCTGAAGTTAAATGTCAGTCTGAACTAGAGCATTAAACTAGGAGGAAATAAACCTTTAAAAACTGCCATCTTGACTCCTCAATCACTGCTTTAACTTTATATTAGTCCATCCTATCCCTAGCCTGATAGCTAAAGTTAACTTTAAAAGGCAGTTACAATTGATATCTTAAATTCACATGTTTTTTCATATACATTTCTAAGTCAGCACAAACTAACTACTTGGCCAAGCTTAAAATAAATTCAATTATATTAAGATTACTATCTCAAGTTATCCTACATCATACCTTATGAACAAATCATCTCAGTCAAATCAGGCCTGGAAAGGTGGAAGAATGGACCATAGAGTTTTCACCTCCTTACCTATGAAATAAGCATGATGAAAAGGACTTAGGTCCTATGAACTTTTAAGGATGTTTTGTTTATGGCAAATATCACAAATATCATTATTTTGGACACAAACTGTAATCTTGATTATTTAACAAGGTGATTAAGTTAAACATTTACTCAACTTTAAAAATATATATTTCTAAACAATTAAATTTCCTGAAATTTAAATTCAAATAAAAGAATTACCATCTAGCCCTGCAGGCTGGTCAAAAAATTCTCTCCACCACTTCTTGTCGGTTGGTTAGCTATCACCAGTTTGTCCATCTGTACCTGGAAGTCCCATAGGATCTTAGCTCAGTCATTGTGAACCACCCTAGGGGGCATACCCCTTTTAGACCTAGGTACTTCCAGGTTATACTTAGCACAAATGTTCCTGTACACCAGCCACCAGCCGCTGTATGTCGTTCTTACTAGTACAGCCAGGTTCTGCTATGGTTCCCTAGCAACTATGAAATTAGTGGCTAATAATGTTTTATACAGCATTGTTTCGGGTGGCTGTGGCTCAGGTGGTAGAGCAGCTCAGCTACTGATCGGAAAGTTGGTGGTTCGATCCTTGGCTTCCCCAGTCTGCATGCCAAATATCCTTGAGCAAGATACTAACCCAAGTTGCCCTCCGATGCGTTCATCGTGTGAATGTAGTTTAGTTTGCACTTATGTTTAGAAGTAAATGGGTGAATGAGGCATGTTGTATACAGCGCTTTGAGTACTCCGGGAGAGTAGAAAAGCGCTGTATAAGAATCAGACCATTTACCATGTTTTACATAAATAAAGCAGGAAATCTTCATTTTATCTAATTTGTCTTACTTTAGTTGACATGTTTCATTGGTATAAAATGAATCTGAGGCTGAGAGACCATGGGACTGTAAAAACATGATTAGGCTGCAACAGTAAATTTAACATTAGCTAGTAAACAGCAGTTAGCTAATGTAGTTCATGAGACTAGAGTCTGTTACACTTTGGTATTATAATGGAAATATAATATGGAAATATAATATGGCCATCATTACATTTTTTATTTTAACATATGAAATATATTTAATCCAAATTTTACAGCAGCGAAATGTAACTCTGTTTCAAATACTGAAGTTTAGTAAAAATTCAAGGTGCATTTATTTCTGTTTGATATCACTCTTTATCTTCTCACAAACAAATATGTCACAGCTTATATACGGCTGTATTATATATACACTACCAGTCAAAAGTGTGGACACACCTTCTCATTTAATGGACTTTCTTTATTTTAATGACTATTTACATTGGAAAATTCTCAGTGAATGCATCAAAACTATGTAGTAAACAAAAAAGTGTGAAAAAACATGTTTCATATTTTAGATTCTTCAAATTGGTCACACTTTGCTTTGATTACTGCTTTGCACACTCTTGGCATTTGCTCAGTGACTCGATGAGGTTCATTCATTGATGCCTTC